TTCCTGCTGTGCCACACTTACCAAGCTACACATTCTGAGCTGCTAGTGTAGAGTAGAGTAGCTACCAGTACATTAGTCAGCCATGCAGTTCTTCATAATGTTTTAAATGAAGAAAATTTCATATTTAGATTAGATAGGCCAAAAGAAAGGCGCAATTCTTTATGCACATCAAAACGTTAGTGCTTATCGTCCACAATGAAAAGTGCATTTCTGGTTACAGCATTCCTTTATTCGACTACTTTAGGAATAAAGTCGGGGACATTTTACGGTTGTGAAAAAAACAGTAACTTACTTTGGGTAAAGTAATTTTGCACGGTTCTTGGGTTCTGCTCTACACGACAAGAATTTTCACCATAACAAAAAGAATCTGTACTACCTAGCTATGTTACATATAAACTGGACCGATCTACCTGATAAGTGGGGTTATCTATTCTTAGTTGGTTTTGTGTACATGTAGAAGCAAGGCATAAGATCCATGATGCCTACATATGCCTCAAAATCCACATTTGAAAACAAAAGGTAGACCCCTAAGGATCGATCGAATCGTACTATCACTTATAAAACCAAGAAAAAGGTAACTATTGCATTGTTCTTGATCCTCTCTACACAATGACAGCTCCTCACATGCCCATGTTATTAACATAATAATGTCGTCCAGCATCTATTCTTTACATGCATGTAACACAAGAAGCTTTACTAGAAAGCCACTCTACTTTTCACCAGTCAGCTTTATTACCACTTGCATATATGCATCTTCTTTATCAGGACATCATCTCTTGTATTGTATCAAGGAATATAAAGCACAATTAAACCTATAAGTAGGCCGCTAGCTATCTAGCCCTAAGTAAGTTCAATTCTACCATGATTGGCCCGCCTACTAATCGCGTATCATCATCGCTTGTTTACTCATCAAGCTAGCTAAGAGTACTATCCCATCCCATCAGAAAAATCATGATATATAGTATATAACAGTAGCCACCACAGGAATATATGTATAATCCCCTTTCCCTTTAGCACATATGTCTTGCTTAGTGGTTAAGGAATAGGCAGTTTTGCATTGATTGACAGGCGGATGCAGATAGCAAAACATGTCGATGTCTGATGTGCATTCCATTCCATGCCATTTTCCCAGTTCGACATAAGTGGACCTGATCAGAAGCTTGTGTTGACTTGTGCTGAACACCGCCGCATAAGGTTCAGGCTCACAATGATGATGGGGGTTCAGGTTGCTCCTGATCTGATTTGTTGTGTGATCTTTCGAACTGTGAGACTACAGGAGCCTCCAATTATTGGTTGGGCATGGAAAAGATTCAGGTAGCAGTTTTACAGGGAGATATTCAGCCTGTTCGCTCAGTCAAGGCTTATCAGTTAGTTAATAATATTTTTCTCTCATAACAAATCAGCACTAACCGAATTTATCAGCCCAACCCATAAACAGGCCGGTGATAGGCCTACAGACCAACCCGTGAACAGGCCGGTGATAGGATACCTCATATATTATTGGTCTGCGGAGGCTCTTGTCTTGTCGCCAATGTTGATCCTGATTGCACAGTTATGGCGAGATTGGCATCCATCCGCCTTACTTGTCTGAAAATCGTTTTTTTTTAAAAAAAAAGACAAAGAAAAGGTTATGCGACGGCATTCAGATTTTCTGAGGCTATTACTGCCGATCGATAATGGCGAAGGATACATACAGAGGAAGAAAGAAAGTAGTAGTAGAAAAAAAAAGGAGAAAAGGTTAGGAAATCTGAATGCTAATCCCTGAGGTCACTTGCTCAGCTTGAGATCGAGCTGTGATCTGTTTCGCAACGGCGGGGCCACGCCGCCGCAGCCCGCGGGGTGCCGCCGTCCCTGAGGAAGCTAGTACGAGCACCGCGCGGAGGAGATGGCTGATGGCGAGAGCGGGATGGACGGCGGCGGCCGCCGGCGACCTCGGCTTGCCTGAGTGGAGCCTTTTCGTACCACTCCCAGTTCTTGCAAATGACCCCCTCTGGTAATCGCAACACAGATATTTGCATATAGGCCCCTGGATCAGTTTGATCTGGGTGGCCTTCATCCTACCTGCCGTCCGCCGCCGCCTCCCTCGCCGGCTTGCCGCCGCAAAGCGCATCCCCACCACCTCACCTGCACTCTGAATCTGGGAGCGACGAGAGAAGTGCGAGAGCGCCTGATTCGACGAAAATCATCTATCCAAGCCGGGCGAGCTCGCCCTGCCAGGAATTGGCTGCATGCTTTGGTCGGTCTCAGCTGAAAGAGTGTCGTGTCTGTCTGGTTCCTGTGAGCAGAGCCATAGCCATGGAGGATTGGAGGTGCAATTAATGCAAGCTTCTCCATCTCCTCCTCACTCTCTCTCTCTCTCTTCCCCAACAAACACATGTTAATGGCAATGGCATCAAGGGTCCAATCCATCTCTGGAATGGAACGAACATCCTGGTCTCTTTGATTTGTTCAGCTGGAGTGACCACCACCACCACTAGTTGCATGCAACTTGCAGCGTCATCTCATCTCATCCCCATTCCCATCCCATCAACGATCCGATCGTGTCTGCCGGGATCTGCGACGAGTCTCGGTTGCTCATCCCACTGGTGCTATTCCGATCCTACTCCTACTGCACAATTTCTGTCCGTGTCAACTGATTGATGGCAGATACGATCCATGACTTTTAGAATGTCAAACATATATACTTTGCATATCATTATATGTACGCTCCTTAATCCTTTCCTCTCTTTAACTTCTCTCTCTCTCTACCTCTGAAAATGGATGCCCAGGAAATAATATAAAAACACGAGCTTTCTTAGTGTTGAGATCCATTTGTTCCTCACTGTTCTAGATCACATACAAAAAAATACCTACCGTCTTCTGAAAAAAAAAGACTAGGGATACATGGCATTCTAATTTTCCTTCTGTACTTCGTTGCAATTGGAGTTGGTTTCTGATACATGATACATTTTTGGTAGCTAAGAACTCCCTAGTATTGGACAAAGGAACTAGTGCATGCGAAAGTGCCAGCAAGGACTGGATCATATGAACTGAACACCTGAGCAACAGGAAACCTGAAAACAGGGATCCTATGGCCCTGTTCGCTTGTCTTATAATCCGTACTTTTCAGCTTGTTTTTTTAGCCGGAACAGTGTTTTTCTCTCACAACAAATTAGTCGGAATAATATTTCGGCTTGTTTTTTCAGCGAAGCGAACGGGATTGATGGTTGGATCCTGTCCGGCGTGGGCCACCCTTGAATCGATCTAGCAAAGATTTTCCTTGCCCCCCTTTTCCTCTTTTTCCACAAAAAAAGGTCAACAGCTTTGCAGGTTTCAACTAGGGTACGTCCGGTCCAGTCATCCAACGCATTGGATTCATGCACCTTAATGCAAAGTGCAACGCATGGTGTACAACGACCTGCAACTGCAATATATACCATGCACATTTGGAGGAGTCAGGCAGGCTTCAGCTTTCTGTTGCAGGCCGAAATGCACGCACTGCAACTTGACTCACCGTGCTGTGAAAGAAGCAACCCTTTCAGCTGTGCTGCTGTGGTGTGAAACAGGTAGGAGTAACAATGGTAGGAAGGGGATGATGCAGATATGCACTAAGGGTGACTTGCGGCGTTGACTAGAGATCTGAGTCTGACACATGGTTCATGCATTAGAAGATTGCAGTTCAGAACATCAAATCAAATCAGCAGTGGGATGTTTTTTTTTTTTTTTGAACTGAATCAGCAGTGGGATGTTGGTGGTGCAGCTGGCATCTAACATGACCTTAACTGAGGATGCACTCATTTGGCAATACAGTACGTCAGGGAAATAGTCCCTTTATCATTTGGTCAATTTTAGGGGTGTAAAATCAGTGTCAGGTAGCTGTAGTTCTTGTGTGCTAGTTGATGGTGGTAGGCTTTTTTCCCCTTGTATCTGACCGAAGGGTTCATAACTCACGAGCCATGTTGGTGTTGTAACACTTGAATCTATTTCTGGTCCTAATAGCAATGCTAATAATGGGCCGAGGTTATCCCTGGAACTCTAAAAAAATCATTAGTATTAATTAGTGCCCAGAAAAGAGAGGAGGAAAAAAAAACTTGTGCTGTTTTGCTCTCCTCTGCTGCTCCAAAGCTGCAGTTCCATGCATGCTCTGAAAGGATGCAGTTCAGCAGTTGTGAATCAGGTATTGCATGCATCCTATCAACTTGTACTATCAAGAACACAAGAATGCAGATGCCCTTTTGTTTTTGGGTACAAGAGCTGAAGTGCAGATGACTTTGCTACAGCTTTATTTGTTTGGTCAGTCAGGATAAGCCACAAGCTGCGAGAACAGCCGAGCAGAGAAAACCAAGTGAGGAATCTGGTGACACGTGCTGGAGATTGTGATCCACATCCAATTTCATTATTTTTGTATAAGCTTCCTGCCTGACTAATGCAGATTGCAGTCGTTATTAAAAAAAAACAGTGCAGATTGCAGTCTTCTGCAAACGCTGACTGACACTGACCAGACCACAAATGGTTGATACAACTGGGCTGGGCTTAGCCCATGTCTCAGGCCCATGGTATTCGATTGAGGAAATCCCCAGTCTGTTGGTGTTTTGGTAAAGATGGAGGTTATTGTTTTCTAAATCTAAAATGTAAAATGGTGAAAAAAAAATACTAGATAGCAATGTCCATAGAAGTAGAACATATCCAAGTCGAGCTTTTGGAGCTTTTGGAGAGGACATCTCTGGAGAACGGAACAATCTCAATAAAGCAAATGATGGAGAACAATTGTGGTCGATATAAATCTTATCTGCTCTATGCAGTGGCGAGAGAAAATAGATAAATCTATGATCGAAAAACGTTGGTTGGTGTCCACCAGAAACAGTGTTATCAACAATAGCAAGTTTGAGGCCTCAAAAAATGGGGAAACAGACTAAGACTGATTTTTATATATATGTTCGAAAAGTAGCAACTTTTCTGTCCACTGTCTCTTCCACGCCTTTCGGGTGTTCTCTCGCTCCTCTCCGCCGGCGGAGGAGCGAATGGCATCCTCCATGGCCGCCACCGCCTGCGCCACCGCCACCGCGCTCTCGCCGTCGACCGCCACGGCCCAGAGGCCGTCTGCCCAGGGCCGCCTCGTCTTCCCCGCCGCCCCGCCCGCTCCCACTCCCTCCGGCTCCGCGCCGCCGGCCGCCGGTCGCCTCGGGCAACCAAGGTACTCCCTCCCTCTCGGCCTACGCCTTGCTTCGGTTGGATTGGCAGCTAGCGAAGCGCAAGGGGACGGGGGCGCATGTATTGCTTGCCTGTTCCATGCGGACGTTTGGAGGATTCTCCAGACATGGATGGGGGTATTGGAGGACCGTAGCATAGATCTCGCTAATCCTAGCTATTCCATCTCCGTGGGGTTAGCTTGATAATGACACCAGTTTTTTCATGGCAGAATTTTTATTTTCCTGCTTCTTCATTTCAGGTTGTGGTGGCAGCGTTGGCTGACCCACTCAAGGTCATGATATCTGGGGCTCCGGCGTCCGGCAAGGGCACGCAGTGTGAGCTCATCAAGACCAAAGTAAGCGATTCGTTCATGAACAGCCCTGTCTGTTATTTTATCATGTCCTCAATCCCTTCTGTACAGCGAGTGCAGAGCTTGGCAGCGGTTCAGTTAGCATTTTTTTCTGATAATTTGCAGTTCGGTCTGGTGCACATCTCCGCTGGAGATTTATTGCGGGCGGAGATCGCTGCTGGCTCTGACAATGGGAAGCAGGCCAAGGAATTCATGGAGAAGGGCCAGCTCGTGCCTGATGAGATTGTCGTTAATGTGGGTCATGTTTTCTTTTGGCTTTTCCATTTATATATGCATTCCAAGTCGCTGTTGGTGCTCATAAAGAAGAATGGTCTTGGGTTTCTGCCAGATGGTGAAGGATCGCCTTCTGCAACCAGATGCTCAGGAAAATGGTTGGCTGTTGGACGGGTACCCAAGAAGCTATTCACAGGCCATGGCGCTGGAAACCCTTGAAATCCGGCCTGATGTTTTCATTCTGTTAGATGTAAGTTTACAGCTAGATCAAATTATTGACGCATACTGCAAATCACATTCGTCCTTTAGACTATAATATGTCACCATTACTCTTGCTAGTAGCACAAAATAGATTTCTTTAAACACTGCTATTGGCTACGTATACTTAACCCAATGAATAGCTTGTGCAATATTGTTGAATCAGACGTTGACTTAGTTATTTCGATTTTCTGGAGTAAGTTACATAACAAAAGGAAGAAAAATGTATTCATTGACTATAGCTTTCATGCATCCTCTGTTGATTTTTTTTGGCGAATATCTGTTGAAATGAAATTAACTGCAGCAGTCCAGTGATTAGATTTTAGGAATGTAGAATTTGCACCTTTAGCCCATTCTTTGCTGTTATAGGTTCCAGATGAACTCCTTGTTGAAAGGGTGGTTGGAAGACGGCTTGATCCTGAAACAGGGAAAATATATCATTTGAAGTACTCTCCACCAGAGAATGAAGAAATCGCTTCAAGGCTTACGCAGAGATTTGATGATACAGAAGAAAAGGTACATATTTGTACTGGTTATTGGTAAGAGTAATGTCAAATGCAATTGCCGGGTCTATCATTAAACAAGATATAATTGCTTATCTAGGTATTGCATTGTTACTGCAAAGTGTCTTTCTTTGGTCTTCTACTAGGCAAGCAAGATCAGCATGCTTTATGATGTGCCTGCTGGCCATATCTAAACTATTCAGTGCATATATGTTCCACTGACACACCTGACATTTCCATTTGAGAGGTGGAAGCACCACATCTATGGTATAAAGATCCTACATGTGTAGTGTGCAAGGCTCCCCTCTGATGGTCAAGGGTTTTTTTTCACTGTTGCCTGTTCTTGTGATGGTCTATCATTGTGGTTTCATGTGGTAGAGTTACTGACATAGGATGATGCTTCTTCAACTGTGTATTATGATGGTTTGCTTACCTCTACTCGATCAGATATTTTTCATCAAGGCTGTTTATGTAGATCGGAAAAATCAGTGAGCATGGTGTTATGAGAATCCACTTCTGACACATCTTGCTTTTGTTGTTTTACAGGTTAAGTTGAGGCTGCAGACTTATTACCAAAATATCGAGTCCTTGCTATCAACATATGAGGATATTATTGTCAAAGTAGGCACCATCTCTTTTAACTGAAAACTATCTGCTCCATCAGTTCTCTCAAGGCTGATGTGCATTTCTGCTAGATGTTTTCGATAGACTTAGTACATTTCATGAAATAACCCTAGCATGGATTAATCTGACATCCTCAGTACTTGCAGGCATTTTTTTTTTATTTCTGATACTTGCATGGAGTAACACTTGTCGTTGTCAATTTCTCTATCTATCACCTCTGCGCCACATGGATATAACCTATTTCTCAGTCTCTTCTTGTTCTGTTTTTGATATACTAGTGTTAGTATATTATTCAGTAGTGTCTAATTATATAGGCATGATAACATACAACTTGTTTATTAGTATCTGCCTGTGATGCTAAATTATATCGTTCAACAATCATGCTTTATCCAGTCACCTATCTGGCTATCTATGCAATCAAGCAATCACCTACCTGCCTTGGATGCATGTTCGTGTACTAACTTTCAAACCTTTCTTTTGTTACTGGTTTCTGTAATTTAGGTGCAAGGAGATCGCACAGTGGGCGATGTCTTTGCCGAGATCGAGAAGCTGCTGGGTTCTAGCCTGGAGAAGAAAACAGAAGTCGTGTCCAGCACATGAGCAAGGAAAAAAAGATTGGGTGCAGGTCCGACAAGTTCATGTAATGTTGTAAGCCATCTCACATGATAGGAACTTCTCCAAGCGGATGTAGTTGAAGCATAGGCCGACACGTACATGTAATGTAAGCCGTCTCACAATGATGGAAACTTCTCCATGTGGATGTAGTCAAAGCATAGGAATTTTTTCTCCAATTGTTAATTGTACGCGAATGGAGGCGACAAATCATTCCTAGGTTGTGAAGGTTGTGAGGGCTTAAGAGATCCTCTGCTGCTGTACATGTTTTGTTGCTGTCTTGTGAACATACATGTCATGTTGTTTCTCAACTGGAAGAATGGTGTTAATGCATTCATTTACAGCATTAGTGATTGGTGTTGTCTTAAGGTTGATCAGTGTTGCAGCTATGGTGGTAGCAGTCTCTGATGCTTGCTGAATCAGATACCTTCTTTCAGAGAAAGGTTTGCCATGATCTAAGGGACTAGCTGGCATTTCTTCATGGATTCTTTTTTTCAGAATTTAAGTCAATGTAGAAGAGGATGGCAAGTGCTAGACGTGTGGCACCTTGCCCAACAAAACGGAATGTAGCATGGTAGAATTAAGTCTCTGATGGACTGCGGACCAAGATAGCTTTCACATTTTCAGATTCCAGGTTGGTTAGGAAGCACAGTAGCATGGTGTATGCATTGTAGCTTATGCTGATTTGGTTGAACAAGACCAGCGAAAGAGATCAGCTGCAGCTCAGTAAATTTCTTGAGAAAGGCCAAGAAAAGAAGGTAAAATGGTATGCTGATGATCATTTCATTCCTGCAAGAGAAGGCATGGAGATCGGAATCTGAATTTCCAGCTCCAATCAGGAAGCAAGATCACATTTGTTAACAAAGAGCCCTCGCGACAAACACTTCAGCATGGCACAGAAACACACATATATATATGGCAACAAAATAAGCAAAATGCCTGAACAGGCCTTATAAACTACTTGTGATTACAGAAACAAGACACCATTCATCTAAAATAATTATACATTGCACACTTACATCAATTCATCTGATATCTGATAATTCAAGAACCATGCTGGTCTAGCTTTTATCAGTATCCTGATCCTCATCTTAGAATCTTACGATACTATGATCCTACCGAGTTGAAACAATACCGATTCCATATATCCTAATTTTTATGGTATCCCGATCCTACACGAAGGTTTCACACGATCCTATATAAGACTTCATAGTATCATGATCCTACGATACTATATATGATCCTGATTCCGACAACCTTGGTCTAGCATGGCACCGGCTACAGGGATTTAGAACACTTAGCTGTTCTGCAGGGGGGGGACTTTATCCCCGCTCTATGCGCTTCCCTGGGAATACAGTCTCTCATGGGAAAGCAAGTTGTCTCTTTTTTTTCCAAGACACCTAAAACCATAGAGGGTGTCCAGTGTCAGACACTCAAGTGAAACTGCATTCTTGAGAATATAACATGCTAGCTCAACCAAGCCCTTGGCAGAGCTAAACCCTGTGATGGTCACACTCTTGAGGCAGCAGTGGTGGTGTTCAGGCATCTGCCTCAAATGTGAGGAACCTCCAACGACCGATTCATGCTTCATAAGTTGCTGAGTCACCTGAAAGATTGATAAAAAGGAAAGTGAATGAGTAAGAGTGACCAGATATCTTTGCAGGATGGGATGGAATGGAATGAACAGCATCGGCCTTACATCCAAGATTAATGTCTCCAAGCAAGGAGATGCATCAAGGAAAGATACCAGAGAAAAACAATCATAGGACAAGGAAAAGCTCAATGCTGATGATATGTCAATGGACAGGTGCTTGAGGTAGAAGAATTTGCTAGACAGCATTGGTGTACTGACCACCTCCACACAATAAATGCGTGATGTCTCAGGTAAGGTTAATTATGCACAAGGTATGGTTTGACCATGACACCTAAAGTTTGAGAGTACATCTCCTCCCCTGAATTTAGGACTAGAGTCTCAAGATTTGGCATAACGCATGGAAGCTCAGACAACGTTTTTACGGTGCATGGTTAGATTCTTCATGTGCAATGTTTCTCCAAGCGACACTTTTGAAATTTTACCGGTAAGGTAAAAGCTGGAGAGATTTGGAGCTTTGCTCTCTATAACCTGCAGCCTCCGACACCCAAAGATCTTCAGGTAGCCGAGGTGCCGTAGCACGCATGGTATCTTCAGGCAAACTATCTCCTTGCAATCAATGAGTTCCAGTTGCCCCAAAGCAAGAGCGTTGGAGAGAAAAGACTCCAATTCATCCCCAGTAATGCGCACAGTACGGAGACACAGACTCGTTAGGCTTCTCAAGGGGCCAAGTTCAGCAGTGGGGCGGAAGGTACAGATCCCAAGCTCAAAACTAACTAACTAGTAGTAATATACAATCATCATCAAAACCAAAAGGATCGGAGCAGGAGATATATTATACTCCTATTGGATTCACCGTACCTTTAGCAGCCGCCAGTCGTGGAGCTCCCAGCTGACGGCGTACTGGCGGGTGGCCGTGTCGACGATAAGGAAAGCCGGCTCTCCTTGTTCGTCGACTGCCTGCGTGCTGATGCGCCAGTACAGCTGCTGCTGCTTAACACGCTTGTTGGGAATGCGATCATGAGGCACAAGCATGACCTTGCCTCCATCGTTGCCGACGGCGAGCCGGCGGAGGCTTCTTCCTCCATCAGCATCAGCATCAGCATGATGGGGCTGCTGCTTGAGGTAGAGCAGGAAGGAGGTGCAGTTCTCCTCCTTGCCCACAAGGGACGCGATTTTGGCGCTTCGGTGTGGGATTTTTCTAACGAGCGAGCGTCCGCGCTTTATAGCAGCTCGAAGGTGGACCCTACCATTGCTTAATTCTGGTTTTCAAGTATAGTAATTTGGCATTATCCATTTGCTGAATTCCCAGCTTTGGTAGCTTGAAGGTGGACCCTACCATTTGCACCAAAGCTAGCTACCGCCTCGGCACCTCACCACCTCATGGTAGCGTTTCTCGAGGTCATCGCCCCACCCCGGGCTAATCCCCGCCCCGCTCCCTCTATCGCGCATCCGCGGAACCGCCGCGCACGACCCTGTGATAAGGAAAAGCGGGTTTCCTTGTGCGTCGACTGCCATGAAAACTTGAGCGAGAGGCTGCGCGCGAGACAACACATCATATTTAATTTTAATCCGCTGCTGAATTAGTATGAAAAAAAAACCCAGATAATCGCAACCCTGCGGAGACTTGGAAAATCTATGCGGTTTTTCTTTTTTCTTTTTCCCATCCCATGTGGGTCGTGGGAGGGAGCAACGGCCGCCCACACCTGATGATAAGGAAAAGGCAAAATTTGTTAGAAGACGCTGAAAGTGACCTCGATTTGTTAACGGTAATTCAAAATAGAACAATTTAGTGATGGACACTTTCATTGTTATTAAATTTGTTTCTAGACACCGTGATTAATAAAATATTTATTTATGGCTTGGAAGGAGAAAGACCAACGGTGAAATGCCCGTTTTAACCCTTTCTTCCTTCCCTCGCCCTTTCTTTTCTTTCTCACCGGTGCCGTCACCATGGCTGCTCGCCGGTGCCGCCGACCTGCGCCTCCTGGGACTGCCTCCGGCCCCGCTCCCCCGGTTCGCTGCCACCGCCCTGGTCGCACGCGCGCCAGCCCACATGCTTGCGCGCTCCGCCGCGCCGCCGCCGGCCTGGGTCTGCCCATGATTTTGGGCAATTGGGCGACGCGCGCAGCCCGGCATGCGTTGCCGTACGTGCTTGCCCGCGCTCCGCCCGCGCTTCGCTCGCCCGTGTGCGCTGTCGATTTTCTCCTCGCGCCCACCTACGGCAACAAGCTTGGCTCCGCGCGGCAGCGGCGACGGTGGACGAGGAGGAGGCACAACTCCAACAGCCACAGCCAGGTGCCTGCGGCGCTGCCGGTGGGCTTCCCACAGCGCAGCAGCACGCCGCTGATTCCCGCGGCAGGCTCCGTGGCCAAGCGGAGGGCGCTTTCGCCGGAGCCGTCGGTGTCCTCCGAGTCCTCCGACAGCTTCCCGCGGGTGCCGGCCATTCCGGCAGTGAACGGGAAGAGGAAGAGGATGGACGAAGGGCGCTCGGACGGTCTCTCGTGCATGCCAAGAATCACGCAGGCCAAGAATCACGGGTCCGTCCGCATGCACTCCGCCCGTGGCCCCTCGCGCCCACACGCTGCTCTCATGCTGTTGCCGCTGCCTCTCCTCCCTGCCGTTCTTGCGTGGCCTGCTGCTGCTGCTGCTCATAATGCAGGCCGGGATCTGGTGCGAAGGAGAAAGAAAAGAAAGAGCGCGAGAGGACGAAGAAAGGGGAAAATAACATTTCACTACTGTTATCTCTCTTCGTAGCAAGAAAATAATATTTTATTAACCACGATGCCTATAAATAAATTTAATAATAATGAGAATATCCATCAGCAAACTGTTTCATTTTACATATCAGCTAGAAAAAAAAATCACTTTCCTTGTCCTGCCCCAAATTTCGTCCAAGGAAAACGGGGTTTCCTTGTGCGTCGACTGCCAGCAGGCAGGCACCTAAACGACGGAAACGTTTGCATTTGCCGGCGGCTCAAGCACACGCGCAGGCAGTTTCCAGCTGGGCGGACTTGGATCGGATACGGCGTACGTGGCGCCTAAACGACGGACACGTTTGCACGCGCGCAGGCAGGTTGGAAAAAATTTCAATGAAAAATGTATCCACGGTTGCACCATGTATACATGCCTTGGATGCCTTACACGTGTTGGTCTTTACGATGCATGCGGGCATTCGGTGGATGGACATAGCTGCATGAATAAGCCTGACCGGAGTCGATTCTATTTTTAGTGGAGGACCACTTCTTGACTAGCGTCGGATCGTTGAAGTCCGACACGTGTCAGACGTCCACGTTATGTATGTATGGCACAGCTACGAATACAGTATGCATAGATTTTTTTCCGGCAGGTTGCAGCTGGGGGACTTGGATCTGATACGGCGTGCGTGGCACCGAAA